ATGTGGAGAAATTGGAACCTTCAGCCATATAAAGGAATCAAGTACTGATATATGCCACAACATGGACGAATCTTGACAACATTATGCTAAATGAAAGAAGCTAGTCACCAAAGGCCATATAATGTATGATTTCATTTACATACAATGTCCATAACAGGCAAATCCATAGAGACAGAAAGTAGGTTAGTGTTTGCCAGAGACTGCAAGGAGGAATTACTAATGGGTACACACTTTCTCTTGAGGTGATGAAAACATTCTAAGATTAATTGCAGTAATGACTGCACAATTTTGTGATAGGCTAAAAACCACTGAACAGACACTTAAAATGTGTGACTTGCGGGCATGTGAATTAGGTCTTAATAAAGTTATTTGAAATAATTTTTTTTAAATGGTTGATGAGGCCAGGCATGGTGGCTTATGCCTATAACTCCCGCACTTTGGAAGTCCAAGGCAGGTGGATCACATCAGGCCAGGAGTTCAAGACCAGCCTGGAAAAAATGGCAAAATACCGTCTCTACTAAAAATACAAAAATTAGCTGGGCCTGGTGGCCTACGACTGTAGTCCCAGCTACTCGGGAGGCTGAGGCACAAGAATCGCTTGAAACCAGGAGGCAGAGGTTGTGGTGAGATGAGATCACACCACTGCATTACAGCCTGGGTGACAAGGCAAGACTCTGTCTCAAAAAAAAAAAAAAAAAAAAAAAAAGGAAAGAAAGAAAGAAAAGAAAGAAAAAGAAAAGAAAAGAAAAAGGCCGAGCTCAGTGGCTCATGCCTGTAATCCCAGCACTTTGGGAGGCCGAGGTGGGAGGATCACTTGAGGTCAGGAGTTCAAGACCAGCCTGGCCAACATGGGAAACCCCACCTCTACTAAAAATACCAAAATTAGCCAGCTAGGCCTAGTGGTGCATGCCTGTAGTCTCAGCTACTCAAGAGGCTGAGGCAAGAGAATTGCTTGAACCCAGGAGGCAAAGGCTGCAGTGAGCCAAGATCGTGCCACTGCACTCTAGCCTGGGCGACACAGCAAGACTCCATCTCAAAAAAAAAAAAAAAAAGGTTGACGGCCAGGCATGGTGGCTCACGCCTGTTATCTCAGCACTTTGGGAGGCCAAGCCAGGTGGATCACTTGAGCCCAAGAGTTCAAGACCAACCTGAGCAACATGGCAAAACCCTACCTCTACAAAAAAAATACCAAAATTAGCTGGGCATGACAATGTGTGCCTGTGGTCCCAACTACTCAGGAGGTTGAGGTGGGAAGATTATCTGAGCCTGGGGAGGTCGAGGCTGCAGTGACCCATGATAACATCACTGCAATCCAGCCTGGATGACAGAGTGAGACTCTATCTAAAAAAAAACAGTGGTTGCTGGTATCCTTAGTGTTTGGGAAGATTATAAAGTCCTGCATTGTAATCAAACCTTCATCTCTAAAACTAAAATTTAACCAGTAATCAGTTTGTTCTGATTGGAGATGGTTGTATAGTACACATAAGTTTCAGGGAATATCAGGTTCATTTGTAATCAGCTACTCCCCATGACCTCAGAGCAGGCACATGGTTCCATCACACATAGAAATACAGCCCACAGAGTTGAGAGCTGGAAGACAGACAAAGAAACCTCATAGAGGTATGGTGGGAGATAAGATAAGATCCTCTTTGGCCAAGCTGTGGGCTTCAATGAGTTGGATAATGTTCCCCATTCTGTACTAAAAATTTAAGTTCATTTTTTCCTAAACCCCTAGGTAATATTTGTAATTAATAAATAAAACCATTTTCAGGCTGGGCGCAGTGGCTCACACCTGTAATCCCTATGGGAGGCCAAGGTGGGCAGATTGCTTGACTCCAGGAATTTGAGACCAACCTAGGCAACACAGTGAAACCCTGTCTCTATAAAATTAAATTAAATTAAGATAGAACCATTTTTGACCTTTAACCAGTGACACGACTAGAGAAATAAGAAAGAAGAAAGGAAAATGCATTGGGAAATAAAAAACCAACAGTTTATTGAGCAACTACAATGTGTGGCAGATATTTTTAATTTGATATTTTCTGATCCCTAAAGTACGTATTTTCAGTATTTTCTAAATAAGGAAAAGGCTAAATTAATATGCTCAAAGCCAGTAGTGTGATCAAAAAGTTGATAAGGTGCTCTTCCCACTGATCAAAACTGTCTCTGATGGCACGGCGCAGTGGCTCACATCTGTAATCCCAGCACTTTGGGAGGCCGAGGCAGGTGGATCACTTGAGTTCAGGAGTTTGAGACCAGCCTGGACAACATGGCAAAACTCCGTCTCTACTAAAAATACAAAAGTTAGCCAGGCATGGTAGCAGACGCTTGTAATCTCAGCTACTCAGGAGGCTGAGGCACAAGAATCGCATGAACCCAGGAGGCGGAGGTTGCAGTGAGCCAAGACTGTGCCACTGCACTCCAGCCTGGATGACAGAGGGAGACTCCATCTCAAAAAAAAAAAAAAAAAAAAAAAAAAAAAAAAATCTGTCTCTGGTAACTCTAGTCTATAAAATTTAAAAAGTTGTCACATATAAGTGACATTTAACTAGTTTTATAAATTCCTCATTCTAACTGCTAACAAACTGGCGGCTACATGAGTATGGAAACAGATATACATCACATTAAGATTATTGTGTGCATTCCTTAAATATCTATTTTAAAACAAAACTAAAGTAATGCTTGTGTGTGCTACTGCGCTTGCTGAAAAGGCCTAGAAGTAATAATAACAAGCACACAGCTAACAGCCATTTGTGGTTTCCATATACCATTCTCTACTGAAAGGAACCAGGACTCAGAGAAATGACTGATCCTAGGGCTGAGGCTGGAAAGCACAAGATGAGCCTGGAATCTCTTCTTGTGCTAGAAAGTAAGGAACTACTAAAAGGAATCATAGGGAAAAACGAATCAACTTGATCAGGTTCCCACTGGCCAAATCAGGGGCATTTTGAAAATCAAAACAATTGATACCACTTTACTATAACCCAGTGAATACAGTAAGAATTCATGAGTTTGTATGTATGTATATATAAATACATGAATAAATTTTGAAATGGAAGACAACAGAAAGTTCTTCCTTACAGAATAATGCCAGGTAAAAAGTAAAGAAAAAATGGTATCATCTCAAAGCATCTTGCTACAAATTCTTATTAACTACAAAGAAAAGAACAGCAACTTTTCAGAGGAAAACATGGTAGATGCCACATTAAGTGAATAAAGCTAACACCACCAATATGGGTTAAACAACCTCATGCACCTCCAGATATGATGCACCTAGAAGGATACAACATCACTTCATGCTGCAAAAAATGTGTAATTTGAATCATTTCAAAACCATAATCCCACTTTTTCCCTCTACTCAGACACACACAAAATAATCTACTCTGTACCCACACAGCACAACCCCTTGTCAAACCTCCTTGTATTTTCAAATTTCTGTACCTATGTACAGACTTGGAATGCCCTTCTCCTGTACTTCCGCTGGCCAATCCTAGTCATCTCAGCTCAAATTTACTTTCTTCATAATAATTTCTTCCTCTGAGCTTCTACAGCATTTTGAAAAAGAGTATGTTGACTCTGTCTCAAAAAAAAAAAAACCCATAAAAACTTAAGATTCAATATCTTTTATTCCAATTCAATAAACATATAAGAGATTCTAGGAACAAGAGATGTAAGTCACAGTCTTAGGCCTCAAGGATTTCATATAATAAAGGGAATTAAAAACTGGATACAGTGCAACCAAACCAATTAGATAGTACCCAAAAACATACAAAGTGCTGTGGATATTCAAAGAGAGATGGTATTTGAGACGGGCTTTAAATTATAAGTCTTACAACAGAAATTATATTGTGGGCAGAGAAAGAGGAGAGGACAAGAGAAGAGATCCAAGAGCTTACAGAAGAATATAATAGACTCAATAAAAGAAGTGTGTCTCCATGTATACATATGTAACAAACCTGCACATTGTGCACATGTACCCTACAATTTAGAGTATAATTAAAAAAAAAAAAAGAGGTGTGTCTCATATCCTTTGTTGGAGAAACAAAAAAGTGTGAATAAATGATTAAATAATTACCAAGAATTTCAAAAAAGGGAGCCAATTAATGTCAAAAGCTACAGCAGGGTTAAAGAGAGTAAATAGGGAAAATAAAGACAAGGTTATTCAATTTCATTTAGATCCTGGTGGCCTTACCTGACACTGACCTCAATGGTGAGGTAAAAAATTAGACTGTGAGGTATTCCAGCTTGAAAAAATAAAGTGGCTCAACATAAAAGGGTCATCATGAACAACAACAATTAAGGCAAGGAAAAAAAAGAGATCTAAGGGAAGACCTGAACATGTATGCTGACAGAGGGAAAGGAGTCAATGGAAAGATAACCAAGTTACAGAAAGTGACTGGAAACAAAAGCACGGAACAAGGAAAGCTGAGCCTTTGACATGAGGGGTGCTTTTTTCCTCTGGGGAGGAGTACTTCTCTGAGAGATGAGCAAGGGAGTTGAGGGATCCTGAGTGGGATGGGAAAGAAAGTGCCTGCAAATTGAGAAGCATGGGCAGTTGAAGGAGACGAAGAAAGTCAGCAAGAGACAAAAAGAATTCTAGCAGCAACGAGGGCTTATTAGCTGGACTCGGAAATACAAATTTGCAAAGATCCAATCAGCACATTTAGTGACTCCCTAAACCACCTCAGAAGCCTGGAAGGCCATGAGGAGACCTGCCTAAATAACTCAGGTTGGGAGGGCCGAGATCCATACCTAGCCAGCTTAGGCTGGTTCAGTACTCTCGTGACTATCCTGGGTCCTTTTTCAACAGAATTCTCCTAAAGTTTGTTAAATTTAAAACCTGATGGCCACTTTTAAAGCCATGTTCTTAAAACAATGTAATGAGATACTTTTCCTTAAATACTAAGACAATAAAATAAGAAATTTTTACATGTAAAACATCATCAACTGTGCAAAGTCAGAAGGATTAATTGACACACAAAACTCAGAATGTCACTCACCTGGCGGCTTCCGGAAAACCCATCTTGTAGAGTGTTACAACCACAGCTCCTCCAAGGCCTAAATTATGCTGCAGAGCCACCTTTGCACCAGGAACTTGCCTCCTTCCGGCTTCCCCTCTCAGCTGCCAGCAGAGTTCTGCACACTGAGCAAGACCTAACAAATCGAACACAGAGCACTGAGTCTGTTGGATCAGAAAGCTGCTTCCACCAGCTTTCTCAAGCCAGAAAAGGGATGTTTGTGACTTTAAATTAAAGCACTTGATTAAGCCGAGACAATGTTTGTGTAAATAGTAACTTCTCTTAGAACACTGAAGGGTTTTGCAGCTAGTTATTTTCTCTCTAAATTTCTTTCCTGCACTCTTTCAACTTACTCAACCTGTCGTTTTCTGGCATGTTGAAAGACAAAACACTGAATCTACAATTCTCTAGTCCAGGGAAAATGGCATAAAAATAATGTAATTTTACCATTTTTAATGTATTAAAAGAAAATAAACAAGGATTTGGAAGTTCACATTCCCTAAAAAGTTTAACTGGTATGGGAAATTTTTCCTATTATTTTCCTCCAAGTAGTTCCCAACAAGCCTGGCACGGTGGCTCAAGCCTGTAATCCCAGCACTTTGGTAGGCGGTGGATCACGAGGTCAGGAGATCGAGACCATCCTGGCTAACACGGGGAAACCCCGTCTCTACTAAAAAAAAAAAAAAACACACACACACACACAAAAGAATGAGTTGTTTTCCAGACCTATTCACAGCTACTCACAAGAAAAGTTCCGGATTCACAAGGATAACATTCTGTCCCCTGAATAATAAAATCAAAGATGTTTAGAGCTGAAAGGAACTTACTGATGTAAACACTGAGAAACACAAAGGTGAATGGTTACAAAGCAGGCTAATTCCAGAGGTGAGGTTAGAACCCATGATTCTAGATGTACATTTGTTTGCCTTTCTATCGGACCAGCTATTAAAGGAGAGCTGGGTTAAGAATGTTCTATCAGGGCCGGGCGTGGGGGCTCACGCCTGTAATCCCAGCACTTTGAGAGGCTGAGGCGGGCAGACCACGAGGTCAGGAGATCGAGACCATCCTGGCTAACATGGTGAAACCCTATCTCTACTAAAAATTAAAAAAAAAAATTAGCCGGGCCTGGTGGCAGGTGCCTCTAGTTCCAGCTACATAGGAGGCTGAGGCAGGAGAATGGCGTGAACCCAGGAGGCGGAATTTGCAGTGAGCCGAGATCGGACCATTGCACTCCAGCCTGGGCCACAGAGCAAGACTCTATCTCAACAAAAAAAAAAAAAAAAAAGAATGTTCTATCAGGATAGACTGATCTGCAGGTCTACTAGTTACAGTGCCTATTCTTCCAGGCACATCACCAGCCACAACTTCCAATTCCTGAGTACCTGTGACAATCTCCTGTATAAACTCCAACTTCCCCAAGAAATTTAACTGCTGCTTTTCATTTCTAAGCAGTGTCTATATATTTATAGACCAAGTATCTTAAACACTATTTTAAAATAGGTAGCTCCCAGCGTGGACAACATAGCAAGACCTCATCTCCACTAAAAATAAATTTATTTTATTTTATTTTATTTTTTTGAGATGGAGTCTTGCTCTGTCACCCAGGCTGGAGTGCAGCGACACAATCTCAGCTCACTGCAACCTCCGCCTCCCAGGTTCCAGTGATTCTCCTGCCTCAGCCTCCCAAGTAGCTGGGACTCCAGGCGCACGCCACCACTCCCGGCTAATTTTTTTTTTTATTTTTCAGTAGAGATGGGGTTTCACCATATTGGCCAGGCTGGTCTTGACCTCCTGACCTTGTGATCTGCCCACCTCGGCCTCCCAAAGTGCTGGGATTACAGGTGTAAGCCACCGCACCCCAGCCTAAAAATAAAAATTTTTTAAATCAGCCAGGCATGGGGACACGTATCCGTAGCCCTAGCTACTCAAGAGGCTGAGGAAGGAGGATGGCCTGAGCCCAGGAAGTCAAGGCTGCAGTGAGCTATAATCATGCCACTGCACTCCAGCAAGGCAAGATTATAGGGCGAGACCCTGTCTCAAAAAGAAAAGAGAGAGAAAAAAAAAGGTAGCTCCACACCTGGTAATAGCTTTTTGAATTGTGAACATTTTAGAAATTAATGAGGAAGGCCAAACTGAATGACTCTATTAGACCCAAACTTGGGGGCAATCAGTTTTATTGGAAATCTGCCTTTATGAAAAGCCTAAATGAATATGTAAGACAAAAAAATATTCAAACTGGTCTTAGATACACTGCTAGTTGTCTTCACAAAAAATAGATGCAATTTACAACTATTTGAGAAAATACTCAAACTCGCCATTGATAAAAATCAAACAGATACCATTTTACACCAATCAAATTGGTAAGAATATTTAAAAATGGGAATAATCAATGCAGGGGAAACTATGGCAAGATAGTCACCTCCATGCAGAACTGGTCAAAGTTTAAACCAGGACAACCTTTTTGGAAAGCAACGTACAAAGTTATGAAGAGTCTTTAAAATGCCTTCAAAACCATTCCATGGAAATAATCAAATGTTGGGAAATTTTTACACACAAAGCTATCTGTTCATCAGATTGTTACAACAGTGAAAATCTAGATAATCTAGAAGTGAAATAACCGGGGAATGGATAGATAGGTAGAGAGGGGCAAAGGGAGCAAGTTCTCCTTGGCCCTCTGAAGGTTTCCTGAAAAATCAACTTGTAAAAGTCAGATTAATTAGAGAAAGGGTATACAAATTTATTTACCATGTATACATAGGAGCATTCAGAATAAAGACCCAAAGATACAGGGGAAATTGTCCATTTTATGCTTAAGTTCGACGAAGTATGGAACAGCCGTATAGAAATATGATTGGACAAAAAGCGTATGATCTAATACTAATAGGCTGAGCGGGGAAACCCAGCCAGGCCTGTCCATCTAGATTCCTCATGGCCTCTGTGAGCAGCATTCCTTCCTTCTGGGTGTGGGGCAGGACTCTTTCTGGAATTGGGGTCTTATGACCTACAGTCAAACAAGATAGGTCAGACAATTTCTTTATGGCCAATTTTTACACAGAAAGGTGAAGGGAAGTTATAGTAGTATTCTAGGTTTTATGACTGGCTTTGGGGAAAAGGGGTTATGGCTTTCAAGATCTACCTTGAGGAAGAGGGATTCCAGTTTCTATGGCTGGTCTCGGTGGGGAGAATGGGACTGAGAGACAGGAGACCAGGAGAAGGCCAGAGAAAAATTTTTGCTTCTGAGGCTTTTATTCTGGTGTATGGTTTTCTAAGCCCTAACAGTGATGTAAATTATAAGCTAGATGTAAAGAGAAAAAGCAAGCTGTTTTTCCTCTCAGCATACTCACAGCACACTTCTGTAACCAGATGTCGGGAAGGTGAGGGGTTCCCCCAAATACCAAATCGATTCTTTTACAGACACCAATGAGGTATTCTGTAATTCATTTCAATTCTAACACTATTTACCTGGAGATAGTGTCAGATCCCATGGGTTGAGGGCTGAGTCCCACCAGGCTATTCATAATTCAGATGCCAAATGCAACTCCAGGCCACCAGTACTTCCAAACAACTGGTTACAAACCATCATCTTGCTGCAAACATTTCCTAATAAGATGTTGGTCAACCTTTTTACATGAAAGTAACTGACCTAGGACTCAGTTACATAGATAAGAGTATACAATCTGGTTGCTTCTAAAAATAAACCATACGAACATGTATCAAGCACTCTACCAAATGTTAAAGATAACAGAGGATTCACAGTGTAATGTAAATATAAAGTGCTAACAAAGATAAGGACACTAAGCGCTATGAATAGCCACAGAATGGAAAAGCTATAGGGGATAACATTATGAGTTATTATCTGAGGTCTTTTCTTCCTTCTCCTTGAACCTATAAACCTTCCTATACTATCAAGACGGCCAAGTACAATAAAGTCATAATTCGGCTTTAGTTTCAAATTAGATATCTAAATGCTTTAACAAAAACAACATTAAAAAGCATGGTTTTCTACTATCAGAGCCTGAATTTTTGAGGAAGAAAAGGCTTGTTGAGTTTCAAAGAGCAAAAAGCTTTCATAGACACAGCATAGACTGAAGAATGTATATTTATAATAGAGCAGTTTTTCTCTCCAAAAGATATAAAATTTGTCGCATGCGTCTGTGTGAAGAGACCACCCAACAGGCTTTGTGTGAGTAACAAGGCTGTTTATTTCACCTGGGTGCAAGCGGGCTGAGTCCGAAAAAGGCGTCAGCAAAGGGTGGTGGGAATATCATTAGTTCTTACAGGTTTGGGATAGGCGGTGGAATTAGGAGCAATTTTTTGCAGGCAGGGGGTGGATTCACAAAGTTCTCAAGGGCAGGGAGAATATTACAAACTACTTTTATTATTATTATTATACTTTAAGTTCTAGGGCACATGTAAGGGCGGGGAGAATATTACAAATTACTTATTATTATTATACTTTAAGTTCTAGGGCACATGTGCACAATGTGCAGCTTCGTTACATATGTATACATGTGCCATGTTGGTGTGTTGCACCCATTAACTCGTCATTTACATTAGGTATATCTCCTAATGCTACCCCTACCCGCTACCCCCAACCCATAACAGGCCCCGGTGTGTGATGTTCCACACCCTGTGTCCAAGTGTTCTCATTGTTCAATTCCCACTTATAAGTGAGAACATGCGGTGTTTGGTTTTCTGTCCTTGCAATAGTTTTCTCAGAATGATGGTTTCCAGCTTCATCCATGTCCCTACA